TACCAAAAACCCTAATCCTAAGCACTGGCACATGAACTGAGCCTGGTTCACCTTGAACCGATCACCCAAAAATCACCAAACTTCATGGTTAGCTAGGTTTTATCATGTTGAACCAGGAACCAGTCCAAACTCCCCAAGAACCGGCCTAAAAATCAGTGAACTGGTCACCTGAAGGACACCACACTAAACCGGCCGGTTGACCTCGAATCGGCCACCCAAAATTTTCTAAACCTACTTGGTTTGATAAATCTTTTCTTCTTAAACCCAGAATCAGTCCAATTTCCCAAATTCGAGTTAATTTAACCACTGAACCGGCCAGTCAAACCTTTTAGCCGGTTCAGTCAAACCCTTCATTTTTTTTTTCATGAGCCAACTCAGCTTGCAGCTCATGGCTCAGCTTGAGCCGCTAACCCAACGGCTTGGCTCGACTTGGCTCAGGCCCATCCTAGTAGCCCTAAAAAAAAATTTTTTTTTCCTGGCCCGTGGTCCAGCTGGGCCACACCTAGCCCAGCAATCGACCCGGCCCACGATGGGACCAGACCCTGTCCTGGACCCTTCTTTCTTCACCCGAAACCCGAAGTCCCCCAAACCCGACTCACAGATCTGGGTCTACAACACGACCCGGATCAAAATATCTGAAAAAAAACTCAAGATTTCCTACTTACTTGGATCGATCACCAACCGAGATCAATGCTTCCAACCTAGGCAAGCTTCAACGGAGCTTTTAATCGGACCAAACAGCTCAAAATACTTCAAATCTGTTGATCTCTGCCTCCGGCCACTCGTAATGTGACATTCCAATCCAACTATGGCATACTTGATACTTATACATGCATTCATATAGAATTTTACATGCATTATATTTACCATGATCATGTTAGATATAAATCAAACTTAAGGGGCCATAATTTAATTTTATTTTCTTGTTAAGGATCCTAGAAAGAAAGGGAGGAAACCTTAAAAGATCTTAGGAAACATCAAGAGAAGGATAGAATAGAATTATGAAAATGATTTAGGAAAAGAAACTAAAGAATAGAAAAAATAAACTTAGAAATTGGAGGTGAAAGAAGGGAATTTAGAAAAAAAAAAAATTGTAACCTTAAATTGCAATTAAACCCTTAACTAAACTCTTATTTAGAGGGATTAAGGGAGGAATTAAATAGGAATTTTACGAGAATTAAATAGATGTTGAGTGGTAAAATAGAAAAAAAAAATTAAGGGGCTTGAAGAGAAGAGGGAAATAGTTGAAGGACCATTTTGTAAATTTTAAGGGAACTTTGTGCCCCCCATTTATGGCCAATTTTTATATATAAATGCAGCTTCTAGGCTTCTCAAGGAGAGGCACGAAATATGAAAGGGAAAGAAGTGAAAAAGATGGAAAAGTGGTGCAAAGTCAAAGAAGGAGCCAACGAATGAAAGGTAAATGTAGTTTACTTTTTGAGGACCAATAGGAATTGAGGGAGCGTTTCAATTGCTTATTAAAAGTGAGAAATACTCTCTGGAGTATTTCACAACCAGCCATGAAAGAGAAGCTACGGGAAAAGAGAAGAAAGAGGAAAGGAAGAAAAAAAAAGAAAAGAAAGGTAAGAATAGAATTTTTTCTTGGATTTTTGCTTAGAAATTCTGTATATCTTGCTCTAGTTTTCATTTTTGCACACTTTAATCATTTCAAAATTCTATTTTGAAGCAGGTATGGGTGCTGGAAAGAAAGAAATTGAATCTATGTAGTTGAGAGAAATTTGTTGCACCACTTGATGAATTTTTGGAAAATAACTTGTAACCTTGTTGTGCTTGAAGAAAACATGTATTCTTATGATTTTTTATAGAATTTTTGGTGTTGTTTGAGGCTGAAACATGGGAGAAACAGAGGTGAGGAGTTTGGTTTGCACGAGGAGAAGCCATGGATGACATAAAATCTAGAAAACAAATACAAAATAAAAAGAAAAATGAAAGAAGGATGGAGTTTAAGGTGTGCAGAAAATTTTTTGCAACAAACCCCTTTGGCTGGACATTTTAGCGCATGGAATAGACTCTAAATTAAGGTTAACAAATAGGGGATTGGATGATTAAGTTGGTCAAGCAAGAACAGCTAGAAAAGAAAGCACAAGTCAAGTCCAAACCGAGTAAAACCTAGCTAGAGATGAGGGAAGTGGATGCTGAAATTTTCTACAGCAAAAAATTTTGTTTTAGGAAATTATTGTGTAGAAGTACATCCTTAGCAAGGGGGGCCACGAAATGGTGTTTAAATAAGGGCCAAAGAGAGTCTTCAAATAGATTCAACAATAGGAAGAAAATTTAGACTCGGACTATAAAGGGATTAAAATTGAAACACTAGGTCCATAAGAAAACAAAAAATTTTCTGCAACCTAAGGGTTGGAAGGAAATGATTTTTTAAACCTTAGAGAACCTCTAACAAAGCTCAATTGTACACCTAATTATAGCTACACGAAAGGGGGCTAAGGGATTTCAAAGAAAAAGAATTAAACTAGAGCACTTTTCTAAGATTTAGAAAAGAAAAACTAATGACTAGACTAATTAGAAAATTGAGCATGCATATGCATTTATATCTTTATTTCCTTACTTTACATTTACACTTGTATATTCATTTTATATAAGAGTGCATATTAGGGAAGAGCATGACCCAGAACAGCTAGGCCCAATGGAGCTATAGGAAAGCATACATACTGTGAGTGGCACTTCCCTTAAATTCAGTAGTTTTTTTAAAAATGTGTTTCCATGAGCTGATATAATTTGTTTTACAACATGTGTATCTTGTATATGAAACTTGGGAAACAGATAGTTATTTTCTGATTTCATATAGATATCTTTATGATGTTACTATGATGTTTGTTATGTTTTATTATGAGACATCGAGCAGTCACCCGGGGCAGGTGACAGTTCTGCATACTTTGATGTCATATGCTTTACACCCCAATGGGGGCTTAAACGCCAAAAGCTGTGTTAGTTGGCCCTGGAGTGGCGACCCACAGTGTCAATTGTACGGCGTGTAGCGCTCGACATGTTTTGACATAGCTTACCTTGACGAGGGCCAGACTGTATCCCAGATTTTATGTTTTCATGCATACTACCCCCCAGACATTACCCTGTTATGCACATCAGGCTAGGGCATTCATGCATGTTTCCCGTTGGAAGTTTTGTTTTAGAGGACTATGCTATGACATGTTTAAGAGATTATGTAGCCTTGTTTACACAGATTCTAAAACCTGAAGACTTTCAGAGACTCAATTATGTTTCCTATTTTATGATTTTAGTATTTCTGTTGTTGAGATATTTTATGAATTATGCTTAGATATGCTACTGCTATGAAACCCTATTTATTTCCACTGGGTTTAACTTGCGTGCCATTCACTCGGACTTTGTCTTATTTTATTATTTTTTCCACCTTGAAGACTATGGCAAACACCTTAGGAAGACTCTTTTCGCATCATTAGCATCACTACACGATAGTAGAGGTGTAGCTAGACCCCATAATCTTCATGACCATTTTGTTATTTTGTATTTGGGAGTTGAGTGACGAGGTGATGTAGTAAATTTTTGGAAATGTAAATAGTTGTGCATTATTTAATTAGCTGGACTAATGTGTAAATTAATTAACAGGTTATGCTTTGTATATTAAAATATCTATAGATACACCTGTTACTAGTTATTTAGTTTTGCAAAGTTATATAGAATAATAATTCTAGTTTTCCTTAGGAATATATCTATATATATATATATATATGTCATGTGCAAATTACAGGTACGCAAACATAGCTTTTATAATCGAATAACACTACAGAGGGTTACAAGGACTGACATGCTGCTGGACTTTTATTCCGAAAGGGTGTTAGCCTTTGCCTGGCTGTCGCGCACACTTATTAGATTGGAATAGGGTGTGACATGTAAGCTCCGCCGGCCTCCACAACTCAAAATCTCTCAAACCTCAAATTGGTTGAGGGCAAATGAAGCGTGAACCCTCCCGCACACGAAAACCAGATTTTCAAGCCAAATTTCAGATTAATCGATAGAGGAATGGGCTGCACAGTGCTCGTTCCACTGTTGGACCGAACCTCTCAGACCTGTTTTCAAACCAACCCCCAGAACTCCCAATCTCTGCAATTAAGCTCTCCAAATTTATGGATTGGCCCTAGAAACCTTCAATTGTTGCAGTTTGACCCCTAATCTCCAATTAGGGTCATTACATGCAATCCAAAAATTCAATTTCTACACCACCACTCCAAAAGTTCAAAAACTCAAAACATAATCTGCGAATCAATCTGCCCATTTATTTTCCATAATTTGACTTTGATTGTGACAATTTCATTAATTACATATTAATTCCTTTACCTTAATTAGGTCCTCCTCCTGGGTCCATAGACAACTTTTCCTTTCTGTCCTTTCCTTCTCAAACTTCAAATATCGGCATACTTCAAATTAACAACGTATTAATTTAAGGAATTATCCATTTTCTTCACCGCACGCTGAATTCCTTGTGTGATTTGGGTTTTTAAAGAAAAGAATTCAAGGATTTCTAATTAACAAGGTAAATTTGTCTTGAAACACCTTAAATTTTAATGGGCAATTAGAATTAACGGATAGAGTAATAAATTTTTCTATTAAGAAAATTATTACGTTAATTCATATTATTTATACCTTGTTTAGTAAGACAAACGCATTTCGGATTCCTAGAGCTTAATTTCCAAGGTGTAGACTTGGTGTAGACTTGTAGTAGTAACTTCCCGGGAAAGTAATAAATCATTCTAGAAGGACCCATTTTGTAATATCTTAAGGCCTTGAGTTGGCCACGTCGAACCGCAAAATCACAGAAATTACGACTGGTTCCTAACCTTGTATATAGCCGCTGCCTTGGCCTTCATCAACACCGTACAACCCAAAAACCATTCTCTCAATTCCCATCAGAAAAACCCCTTCTCTCCTCTCTGTAGTTGAAGTCAAAACCCAGGAACTAAACCCTCTGAAAACCTCTCTGATCTCCGAAAATGGTGAAGAAAGAGATGGAAGTAGTGAAGGATCTGGACCTGAAGAGGTACATGGGCAGGTGGTACGAGATAGCTTCGTTTCCATCTAGGTTTCAGCCTAAGAATGGGATTAATACGAGGGCAACGTACACCTTGAACGACGACGGCACTGTCCATGTTCTGAATGAGACTTGGACCGATGGAAAGAGGGGCTACATTGAAGGGACTGCGTATAAAGCAGATCCCTCCAGTGATGAGGCTAAGCTCAAGGTCAAGTTCTATGTCCCCCCATTCCTCCCCATCGTCCCTGTCGTCGGAGATTACTGGGTTCTGTACATTGATGATGATTATCACCATGCTTTAATTGGCCAGCCTTCCAGGAACTATCTTTGGGTACTTTTATGTTCTCTTTTTTTACCTATAATTTCTTGATAATTATCTGCAATTGTGCACGTTCTGTGTTTGCTGGCCATTTTGATCTTAGCTTTTGGCATGGGTTTTCTCCTTTGTTCTGATTTTTCCATTCTTCTGGCCATGCTTCTAATATTGGAAGGGAAGTAAATGAGGAAGTAACAATGCTAAGAAATTGAATTGTAGCTGTAAATATATGGAGAGAGTTTCCATTTATGAATTTGGATTCTCTGTATTGTTTTGATATTACAATTGGAATTGTAGAAAGTTTATTGTTTTGCTTCCTCTTTGTCCATGGCTAGTTAGAGCACGTTGCGTAATTAAAAAGAAAAAGTAACTGTTACTTATTTTCTTTTTTTGATCGGCTTTTACATGTGCGATTCAGTGTAACTAGTTCTTGATATTTCGGCAGTTCAAGTCCTTTTACATTACCAGTTAAGTTTCAGCAACTGGGGCTCTCCTATGGAGCATCAATGGCAAAAATTTTATGAGCTAATTTTCTATAATTTTGAAATGAGTTTTGAGCAAACCGAGGAAAGTGAAGTTTATTGAGATCCTAAGAAGACCCTTATAACTTTAGAGAGGCTTTGACAACAAAAAGTTGTTGCAAATTTTCGTATGTAAAATTCTTTTTCCTATGGAATGGAATTGGACTCATTCATTTTGTGATTTCTGCATTTATTCTTATGTATTTTTACTTGGGAGACAATTTAGACTTTATTGCTTTTTAAATTATTGATTATCTGCTGCCAATAAATCAGTAATTTCTCATATTAATCTATTTCTTGTGGTGCTTTTTGGTTTTAGATACTATGCAGAGATAACCATCTTGATGAAAAGACCTACAACCAGCTTGTTCAGAAGGCCATAGACGAGGGCTATGATGTGAGCACACTTCACAAGACCCCCCAAACTAACCCTCCGCCAGAGGGAGAAGGCCCCAAGGACACCAAAGGAATTTGGTGGATCAAGTCCATTCTGGGTAAATAGGCAAATAGTAAATAAAAGATGAAGAACTGCAATCTATAGATATAAGAGTAGTTAAAACTGGGAAGATTTCATGTTTTGATTTTGGAGGGCATGCAGGTTCAGAGGTGTCTATAGCCGGGGATTGTTGGCCTTATTTTTGGTTATATAACGTTTCTCGGTTATTAATTGTGCGATCTTGGGGTGAATATTCTAGCAATCTTGGTGGCTTCTATATTAATTAGTTGTGCTAGTGATTTTCCGTGTAATGGGTATTCTGGTACCCTCTTAAATGTTTCCTTGTACAAAATCCAAGATCGTACCGTCCTTTATTAAATGAGTGTGAATGCATTTAAATTTAATATTGTATGTGAATGGGTCGATCTTTATATTTTTATTTTCTGCAATACGTATACGCTTATTTTTCAAGAAAAGAAAATTTTCTGCAAACAAGGCGACGCATAACAAACTTCCTTGGAAAATCATCAAATGTCATGTTCGTTTTAGTAGAATTAAAGATCAATTGAAGTCAATTTCATTCTCATTTTTTTTAGAAACTCGCATCGTTAAAAGCAGAAAGTCAAAGACAATCCAGACAGCATCTTCCAGGCGAAAAGCCATCGCGAAGCCACTTCATGCCGCGAGTTCATTTCAAGACCTTCGACTGCATAAAACCCACATCACAAATTTTGTTCGTTTCTTGTAGCGCTTCCAACAACAACAAAACTTTATTAATAAAATATAATCCAATTAATAATCACGATTTTCATGTTTCTATTTGGGAAAATAAGTAAAACGCATAGCACAATGGAGTCACTACATGAATGGCAAGCTTGTATTAGCATTAGGATAATAAATGCTTGGCTAACGCCCTATCAATTCCACTTCCCTTTCACAATCCGAAAACAAAAGAAAGATCATACAATGAGATAGAACCATAGTATTCTTCGAAGTGAAGAATTGATGTACACAATAATCACCCATTCACGATCTGCCACATTTAACTCGGAGAAACAAGTAAATGCCAGAATCGAGTCTCCTCCCTCAAGAAGGTTACAGTATTGTACAGCACTGATTTGTCTTCTTTGCCTGCTTGTAGAACATCTGTTCGTAGGAAACATCAGCACATAGTCAAATTAGAAAGAAGACCAAAGTTTAATACTCGACACTGCTGCTACAAAGTGAGTCTAAAATGGAACTCAAGATTTAGAAGCCAAGAACAGATACCCAATCATGAAATTATCATAATAGATCAGGGAAAAAAAAATCACCGAACTTGAATAATGACCTATCCTTTCCAAACATGTCAATAACAAATGAAAATTACAAGCCAAATAACAAATGGACATTACAAGCTGATTGACCTGTATTAACACCCAACAACAATTAGGCAATAGAAGAGCAGCTGCACCCATATTTAGAGAAGATGGTCATCCTGCAGGCATGCCTATATGTATTTTGAAAAATCCAGTGGCAACTACCCAACTATGCAGTATGCTAATCCAACTGAAACAGGTAAACACATCCCCAGAAGTAGTTATTATTTATGAAATAGCAGTAGTTGGTTGGTTAGCTTCTCTAAGGTGGTAGGCAACAAGCATCCTAATATGAGAATGAATGAGTGTACCCTAGCACTAAATGCTTCTATGCTACCACAGTATTCTCATAAGAAAACATCAAAGGGATGTGTAGAGCCACTCCACTCTCTCTCTCTAAGCTAAAAACAGCTACTGCAGTACACTGTGACTAAATACACTCACAGTCATGTAACTATTGCCCAAGACAGTTGCTGTCCTACAAATTGATATGAAATTCATGAACTCACATTTCACATCAAATCACTAAAAAAAAGCAGAAGAAGTCATTTATTAGCCATGAAATGCTTAGATACATTTTCATTTTCCTGAATACACAGACAGGACTGTGGGCAGCATATGCAAATAACAGAATATACCTGGGAAGCTGCACTGAGATCAGAGCTCTTCTCAACTAAACTATCCAGCTTCTCACCTCGTGCAAGGACACTATCAATTGTCTTGTGCTACAAGAAAGGAAGATCCTTTTGTCAACATAAAAACGGATAAATGAGAACAGAACAAGACCAACATGTAATGCAACAGCTGAAAGAACACAAGTATGTTTTTCCTTGCAACATATATATAGATGATATGCATATATACTCTACACTACTTAAAAACAATAAGGCTAAATGTACAAACTGAGAAATCTGACAAACCAAGCTAATCCATGATATTCAGTTCACATTTTGGCTCAGTCTGAGTCAGTTTTGGTTCATATGGGAGTCAGTTCTCAGTTAATTGGAAGATAAACCTGCTTGAAACAACACAAACCATTAAGTATGACGCTCCCCTCTACATGGGATATCACATATATACCCAAGACTCATATCAAGAACCATAAATTGTTCTACTACCGTCAAATCATTAGTGAAAGTAGGAGACATCGTCATTGCCCACTGTCTGTCACTGCAGCCTGATCAACCTTGCCTCATGTCATTTTTTCCCAAGGTTGTTTTCTGCTACTCTGTTTTTGATTTGAACCCATCATCTGTTAACTGTTGCAGCTGCCTGACTTTGGCACACTGACAGTTCTCAGGCTCGTCTCTGTTATATATACATGTGTTGGTGTTGATTCTGCTGAACATATCTCTTTCTAGTCTCTATATGTCTTCCATCTCTGTGTACCTATGTATTTGTTTTTAAGTGTTTACATGTTCTCTTTTGGCTCGGTTCTGCTTTTTAGATGGATGTATCTGTGTCCATATGGCTGCATCTACATGTGGTTTGCTATGTTCTTCTCTCTGTGTGCTTATTCTCTCTCCTTTTTTTTTTTTTTTGTAGCAGTTCTAACAAGAGGTTTGAATTGGTTTTAATTTGAGGTGCCATAAAAATTGATCCCTTGGTTTCCAATTGAAAAACCAGTCAAACCTACCCGAATTGAACCGGTTGCAGCCCCTAAACAAAATAATTCATTGATCTAGTTCTAATCTTATATTGTAAACGATTTCATAATAATTCCTATCTTCACTGGGTTGGAACATCTTATGAGATTTTGCCATCCAATGAAGTACAAAGAACTTCCGCAACAAATCATATTGTATCCAAGCATTTACAAATAAAAGGCCTTGCACATAGCATTCTTTATGACAAATAAGTTTGGCAACCAAAAATAAACTAGGTAAAAATGTAGAGAACATGCAGAATTATCAGCTAATATCAAACCTCATGTCTCATTTCAAAAGACACCACTATTTAACTTTAAAAAAAATAAGAAACTAAGTTATTCTCGTGCACATCAATGAGAATGAAACAAAAAATGAACAAAAACCATGAAGCCAAGCAGTTATAGCTCAACTCACAAGAATAATTTTAGTTTCATCCAATTCCCTCTGAATTTTGAACAACTTGTCAGCTTCAGCAGGGTCCTGAAAAATCAAAGAAAAAAGAGTCACCTCAATAAATCAGTTTATCTTCAGCATTAAGTCAACTGAACATAAAATTTTAGATGATCAAAGGAAAAAGTGGGTCGTAAGCCAAGAAGAAGCAAATTCCCTGCTTCTGGGCTTTTTGGCTAACAAGTTAAACGCACAAGTTCAAAAAGCCAGGCTACCAAACTGACATAACAACATTGTGGATACCTGAAATTTTGTAAGAGCTTCATTCAAATAGGGCCATGGTTCAGTCTTATCGGCTTGTACAGTTCTCCAGGAATCACCAAAATTCTTCTGGTATTCATCTAGTACCTAAAATGAATATAATCAGCTACGAAGTGGAGAACCAACATTCTCAATAATACTAATGTTCTGCCTTCCTTCAGAGACAATAATTTCAAGTATCTTCAAAATTAAGAATAAGCAATAATAAAACTCAAATAACACTTGTGTATTATCTAGTAATTTATACAGTTCATTTATTTGTAATTTAAGAAAATGTAGTTCAACTAATCAGGTGTCATTCTTGAAAATTTTATCTCACAAATAATGACCTTACGTACTGCACATGTCTCCTGCAAGCGAATAATTAGTTAAATCAGGCCAGTATTAGATGCTTATACCCAAAATATTAAGTTAAATATTTAATTTATACTATCAAAGTGGACAACGGAAAGAAGTGTAAAAAGGTAAGTCAGTTTTGTACATAAAGTTTTAGCCAAGCATCACAATTACATCCTCCATCCACAACATATATTTCAATACAGCAACTTGAAAATATATACTACTGTAAATAAGTTCCCAAATGATGTAATGCTCAGCAGATGATATAACACAAAATCTCAAAACAAATATTTCTTAATACTGAATGCGCCCTGTTCAATTTACATGTGACTTGTTAATTGCTTATCTGCAACCACCATGGAGCTTAAAATGTAAAATTCTTGCAATGCTGCCCGCAACTTCGTAAAATGGAGTACCCATTCAATAAATCAATAATTCCTATTGAGATATATGCAATGTTCTATACAGCGATTATACTCTTAATTTCTCAGACGGAAGAACAAACTACTTTCAGTTTAACTGTACACCTTAATAACACACTTGATTCACAAAGAAACAACATTTCCTCCCAATAGATTATAGATTAAATAAGTAAAAAATGAGATTACCTGATTAAGCAAAGAAAATGAACTTCGAACTGGGTAGTGATCATCCATAAAGCCCAATGCACAAAGGCCATTCCTATTGTATGAATGTACTTTGTACTCTGTAACCAGAAAAGAAAAGTATTTCAATTAGCAAACTCAAAGGGCACCTTGAATATGTTTGGCATCATAAAATAAAAATAAAATAAATGACAAAAGATTTCCACAAGCAGCAGAAATCTCAATCATAAGTTTAACTGGTCTCTCTTTGAAAAAGGAGAATAGTTTACAGCATGACCTAGTTTTCCACTGGCCATCATAGTATTTTCTAGCACATGCAAATAGGACATGCTAACCTTAGATATAGGTAAAGACTAGAACTATTTAATCACTCTTGGAACTTGGAACATCAATATCATTACCCATACCTAGAGGATCCAACTTTAAGTTTTTTTTTTTTTTTTTTAAATTTATAAATGAAACCAACATTTTTAGCACTAGTTCAAAAACTATGACTTGGAACTAGAATACCACTGTCAGGTTGTAAATTTTAAATGATTATTTAAGACCTTTACACTGATGAATTTTTTTTAGAAAGGTGATGGTAGACCTCAATAAGAAGAATCCTGTTAGAACAAGGTCCCTTATAGAATACCTCCACCAACTACAATCAACCCTTCCCCTAGTTTTAAACCTAACAACATAACTCCCTTCATTTGAAATCCATCAATAATGTTACCATGACAAAACAAACGCCTTATCAATGTCAAAATCCAATTTCTAACTCACAAGGACCAGATTTATCTAAAGTTTGGTAATCATAAAATAGAGGTGACATGCAGGAGTAACTATATTGACACTTTTCCCATCATACTTTGCATTGCTACTTAAGCAGATCAACTTTAAAATTTTCAACTTTTCCAATATACACCCATTAGGCTAACTTCTTCTACTTCAGATGTGTCATGATGCTGTTATATGGGAATAGGAGTAATAAAGGGTTGTATTTAGTCGGCAAAGAGATATACTTGATATATTTCATTAAAGATTTTGCTTTTTCTCTCTATACGAGTGTGGGAGTTATTTCAGGTGCGTATAGGAGCTTGGATTTCTGCTGTCTTCTGCCAATTTTATAACTTCTCCATCTTATCTTATTAGTATAATTTTTTCACCAACTTCACAATGGAAGTTGGCCAAAGGCTGAAAAGTATAAGTCTCTACTCTTCACCTTATTATCTTCCATTTTATTTATTTCTCCAGAAATCTAATTATTATTTTGAGCAACTCTTTTACTACAAGATCAAGGTCCAAAACCATAACCAAATCCTAATTCCACCAAAGTACCAGAATTGCTCAGTAAACTTAACTAAAAAACCACTGCTTCATCAATTTATTAACAGTTCAAGAGCATAAGTTTATAGTTCATAGAATTTTCTAAATAAGGAAGCCAAAATCAGATGAATCTTCAGAATCTAAACCTAAACGCAAACCCAAACCCTAATCCACCAAAATACTAAAATCATTCAGCAAGATCTCATACTCCACAAAAACTCAATTCGTCCAATTTCTTCCTCAAAGTGCAGTAGATTGCGCTAATTGAAAGTGGAGTTTATTGCGCTAATTGAAAGCGGAATTTATAACCGAAAAAATTGCCAGCAGTCGGAGCAGGCTCTCATTAACGAAGCTCAAATACCAATATCATAAATCAAAGAAATAAAGAATTGTTGAGATTTTCAAACAAATAATACTTAAATTTATTAATTAACCTAATCGATCACAGAATGATTACCTAAAACAGAACGATGGCTAAAAATCCACATCCAAATCAAAATTTCCAGATATCACCATAATAAAAAATCATAATTCAGCAGTATTGCTGGATATATAGATCAATTCCCATAAAACAGGAACAATCAATCTTGACACAAAAAAACCCTAATTTCGATGAGAAGAAAGTTGGGAAACGGACCTTCGTGTTGGACGGATTGTCGTTGGCCAGGCGGGGTCCGTTTGGCGACAGTGCGCCCGACGAAGACAACAAACTCCCTCACGCTCGACCTCTGAAAGTACCCAAAATGGCTTACGTCCGAGGCGTTGGCCAGTATCACCGGATCGGATCCTTCTGGAATGCATTTCAGCACCAACAACGCCGTGATCTTCATCCCGCCTCTCTCTCCTCTCTTTCTCTCAAACTCTCCTTTCTCGCTGTACAAACTGGAAGATGAAAAGCCGAAACTGGGAGGATCGAATGGTTCTATATGGAGAACTTTGATCAGCCCCTGCGCAGTTGGGAATCCGGATAGTTGAAAACAAACGCAGATTAGTTGTATCATTGAGAGGTGAGAAAGAAATCATCTGATGTGGTTGAAATATTAGTCTACTCCTACAACTGCTGAGGTGTCAATAATTTTTACTGCCAAGTGCCAATGGCGTGAGCGAAGTCATGTTACTTCTAATTTTGACATCAAATAGTATTTTTGTGACCTTAACATGGATGGATGCGTTAAGAAAAGGGGTAAAAATCTGTAAGAAATTAAAATAAATGAGAAAAATTAATTTTTTTTCTTTTTTTGTTGACTAAAATATGAAATAATTTGAAAAGGCTATGTTAAAATAACAATTTTTTGTTTAATAAAAAATTTGTATACATATTTATTGAAAATTCTAATTTTATACACGAATTATTAAATTGTGTTAATATTAAATTTCTTTATTTATCACATTACATTTTTGTAAATTATTTATTAAAATAGACTTTTTTTTAGGATTTCCTTTTGAAAGAACTCCACTTTTTTTCTTACATGTAGTATAATAATTCATATTTACTTATCGTACTTTTACAGTAATTCTAATCGAGTTTTAATTTATATTATAATATTCTAACTTCTCAATAAAATTATGAGAATTAACTTTATAAAATTTAAAATAACTTATATTATGTTATAATTATGTTTCTCTACATAAATAAAAATTTAATAATCATCCATATAAAATTTCCAATTCAAAAAGTATTTAATTTTTCTTATAATTATGTTTCTCTACATAAATAAAAATTTAATAATCATCCATATAAAATTTCCAATTCAAAAAGTATTTAATTTTTCTTAAAATAAGGAGAAAAATCTAAGTGTTTAAATATAAAGAATTGAGAAAGAGACGTTTCAATGGTAATTGGGCTCGTGGAATGGAATATTTTAAAGCTTTAAAAATAAAAATAAATAGGGCATGGATGGAAACAATGGATTCAAGGTGTAGGCTAAAGCAGGGAAGCAGGGCAGAAGTGTGCCGACAGAATGCAACAAGGCAAAGCATATAGAAAAGGGAAAGGGGTTTTTGGCAATGTGGGTGGATGAGGATTGAGGAGGCTCCTCTTTTTTCAACGAGAATCTATTAGATTTAAATTTAATAATTGAAGCTTTTGTTGTGCTTAATTAACTAAACTTAAACTCAAGAGCTGAAAATAAGTAGACAATTCATACATTTAAATTTTAAAATCACATTTTTAAAATTTTGATTTTAAGAGTTTTTATCAACTGTACTAACTATTTATTTATTAATTTAATAATCAAAAATGTAAATCTTATTTTAAAAAATATCTCCTTACTACCTAAAAAATAGAAATATTGCAAGTGAGAATTACAATTTTACTTTTATCTTACGTATATGTACAAATATTACTTCATCGAGTCAAATATAGATGTTATAAAATGTGGATGAAAACGGATTTGAGAATTCTTAAAAGAATTTTATTTTTGGTATTGGGATGGAAATAAGAATTATAATATTCAATATACCCTCATGCATTATTTATAAACTAGATATTAAAATAATATATTTTTAAAAAATATATTAATATATTATAAAATATATTAACTTTTTTATAAAATAAAATTATGTTCAATCAGGAATAAGAAGAGAAGTATAGTAATATTTGATGAAAATAGAAATAGAAATTGGAATAATATCTATTGAAATTAATACGTGGACAAATTTTTCAGTCGAGTACAGGAATATTCCTAATTGCAAGCACACTACTAGAATTACAATTTGAATTGGAAAACAGTAACCATGTACAAATTTTGAGCAAGCTCAGTTACAAGGGTACTAAGCATTCATATATACTTCTGTGTTTACCTTAGGTTGTCCTCTTCCCTCTTGGGCCTTCTTTTCCCTAGGTTAGTATATCTTACAAGTTACCGCCTAGGGTTCTCTCAGTCGCATGTAATGACAAAAATTTTAAACTTGTTATATTTAATTAAAAATTTTCATGGGAGAAAACATACAAATTTTCTATCTATCCAAAACTGCCTTGAGTAACCTGAAATATTCCCAAAATAAATGGAAACAACATTTCCATAAATGAAATATTGACCAACAATTAATGTATGAAACGCTTGGAGTTACTAGAAAACTTCTTCTCCTTTAACCTAAAAACTTGACAAGCCAAGCCAAGCTATGCATTCATCTCTTTCATCCCCCACTTCATCATTCAAGTAAGTCCCATTCTTTCTCTCTTTTTCATGTTCCAGTCTTGGTGATGTAAGTGGAATGGTATTTTCTTTCATACCTTCTTGACATATTCAATTTTTTAATGAGCATTTGTGTACTTTCATAACGCTTTTTATTACTCTTCCTGCCAACTATTATCCACTTGTAAAGTCATTTCATGACACTAATTAAAAAAAAAAAAAGGGAAGAGAAAAAGATGTGTGTGTGAATAATATTAATATCTAGCTTGAGATTGTAATATATATAAATGTCTATGTTTGATTCTGTTTTCTTGCACTAAAAACAATATAAAAAGAAAAAGAAGATGGAAACAATTGAGTCCATTCCTGTAAACTTAAAAATCTAGAATTACAAAACCAAATGGATCAGCTAGATTCTTCATAATCCCCATTCAAGAATTTTTGATCTCTCCATAGTTCGAAGAGTTAGAGAGAAAAACTAAATGCTCCCATGTCTTTACTTTCTTGTCATCTCTTTGATTGTTCAAACAAGAATGAGAGGAACTATTCCCTTTTATTTCTCTTCATTCATTACTATTTCTTTTATTCTATATCAACTAGGTTACTAACTATAGTGTAACGAATGGTCTAAGTATATTTAAGTGATAAATGTAATACAAATCTGATTTAGACTTAGGAAGAGTCCATGGAGCAATTTTGAACAGTTTAATGTCAGTTAATAAAACGCATTTAATTTAGACAGGTTGTAACCCCCGCCCACCTTGCAGGAGAAGGAGCAGTTCCATTTTTTGCTAACATGTTTAACAGACTGTTATCAATAGCAACCCAATTCACAAGGCGTTTAGGGTTTGAGAGGGTTGAATATAAGCCTTGTCTAGATGCTGTGTTTTCATGATTCTACAGTTGAAATTTGTTGCTCCTTATATTGGGTTGTTCTCATTTTAGACTTATCTTGTTTCTCTGAAGACGGTGGACTAGCTGAAGAAAATGCTTAGAACTTTGTTTTTTGTTTTTGGCCTGGTACATTGCACTCTAGCACACCACGGGGAGCATTCAAAGAAATGGCTGACTCTGGATGGTAATGTCTGTTCTCCTTATAATTGTTTCATTTTTGATGTATGCATTTTTGAAAATTCACCTTTTCTTTTATCCCTCTTTGAAGCCATGGTTTATGTTCCTGTAGTAAGATTATAGTGGATGAAGCACTGCATTGGCCTTTCAGTGCAGAGAAACCAGTATTTTCGTGTTTATAAAGCAAAGTAATCTTCTTCATAAAGGCTTATCTGCATTAAATAAAAGACGGAAAAAAAAAGGCACGCTTTCCGATTTTTATTTCTTCTTTGGGTGGGTGTGTTGGTGTAGATCTTAATTTCTTTCTGCAACAAGATGAACGAGTCCCATTATTCTCACTCATAACTCACCTGTTCCTTCTTGATTTTGCTTATATCCCACTACTCATCTGACCACAGTAGGGTGGTATCCGTTGTTTCTTTCTTTTTTTACTTCCAGGGGCGGAGCCTCTTGTGATAGCTCGGGGAGGGTACTCGGGACTGTTTCCTGACTCAAGCCAATACGCGTTCAAGTTTGCAATCTCGACGAGCTTGCCCAATGTGACTTTGTTCTGCGATCTGCAACTCACAAAGGATGGCCGGGGAATCTGCCAGACGAGCTTAGAACTTGGCAACTCAACAACGATCGCCCATGCCTTCCCAGATGCAAAGAAGGCTTACAATGTCGATGGGAAGAGTGTTACCGGATGGTTTGCTTTGGACTATGCGTATGATCAACTAAGTCAAAATGTGTCATGTAAGTTCCGCAACACTTTTCTTCGCCATTAGTTCCATTTTCGTGTCCCGTATAGCTCGTAGATGCTGAAAAGAAAAGTGAAAAGTTGGTTGTTCTTGAATACAAGTTTTTCTGTTTTGGGAAACAGTCTAAACCCATTTGCCAGGTTATTTCCAAAAACTAGTTTCAGGATTTTTAGACAAGAGTTGATTTCAGAATTCTCATTTACTTTTTTCTCCTTGAAAATGAAAAAATATTTCCAAGATTTTTTTAATTGTTTTGTGTGTTCTGAAATGAGCGTATTTTCTGAAAAATCTTCAGAAATCAGTTTCCAGAAAAAACTGTTAAATGGGTTTTCTGTTTCCCAAAAAAAAAGTTCTGAAAAATAAATCTAAACAGGCCAAATTCCCATTTTTATTTTCTTTTGTTACCTCTATCTTTTTGAAGCAATTTGAGAAAGCAAGCACGCTATTAAAAACGTCCTTTTTGGTGAAGTTCTGATATATTGAATAATCTATTTATCAATGCTGTGACATTCGTCTCCTTCAGTGACACAAAGCATATATCGTAGAACACATTTGTTTGATGGTACACAGACGATATCCACTGTTGAAGACGCCATAGGCGTCAAGCCCCCTCAGTTTTGGTTGAATGTTCAGGTAATCATTTATCTCTGTATCTTTCTGGTTCATTTTCTGACGTTTAACCTCCCTTGACTTCTCTCTATTAGTCTCTTAATCTTTTTGCTGTTTTATCTATGTAGTTTCCTCATTCTACAGGCAACACAAACTGGATCCTGCATCTTATATCCAAAAGAAGTTAACCGAAACAGGGATAAATTACATCTCATCACCCGAGATTGATTTCTTGAAGAAATTGAATGAACAACTTGATACAACCAAGACTAAGCTTATTTTCCGGTTCATGGACAAGGATTCAGTGGAACCCACGACCAAGCAGACATACGGCTCAATCCTCAAAAAACTCTCTGACGTCAGGTCTTTTGCCTCTGGCATTCTTGTCCCGAAAGAGTTTATATGGCCTGTGAACAGAGAAATGTATTTGGAGGCTGCCACTTCTCTTGTTGCTGACGCTCACAAGCGTGGCCTACAAGTTTATGCCTCCGGTTTTTCCAATGACAATCCTGCAAGTTACAACTATAGCTACGATCCAACCACTGAGTATCTCCAGTTCATCGATAATTCTAAGTTTTCTGTCGATGGGCTGCTCACAGATTTTCCTTCCACTGCTTCAGAATCAATTGGTGAGAGTAGCTCTAATACACTTGGCACATTTTATTACTGTAAACAAAAAGATCCAATTTGAACGCAAGTAAATTTCCCATGTTTCAATTGGTAGTTTACTGCCCTTTCTATTGCAGCTTGCATAGCTCATCACAAGAATGCTAGTAGGCTTCCAAAGGTGAGAAAGAAGTTGTCTTTTGTTCTGCTTTCTGAAAAGTTGAGTTCTTTTACGTCAGAATGAAGAGTAAAGTGGAATTTAGAACAAAATATAAGGAAACGTTTTTGTTTCTTGCCCGGCAGGACCTTTGATCATTTCACATAATGGAGCTAGCGGGATATATGCAGATTGCACCAATCTTGCTTATGAACGAGCCATAGAAGACGGGGCAGACATTATTGATTGCTCGGTTCAGTTGTCCAAAGACAGAGTAGCCTTCTGTTTGGGTTCAGCTGACCTGTCTAAAGAAACAACTGCGCAGACAGCTTTCTTGCCTCGATCAACCAATATTCCTGAGATCCAGAAGGAAGATGGAATTTTCTCTTTTGATCTCACCTGGAACGAAATTCAAACACTAAAACGTAATCAAGCTCAAAAAACAAATACAGCTTTAACAAGTTTAGGCCTTAGACACACCCCGCTGACTCTTTAACCTTTTTTTTTTTTTTTTCAAGCTGAGCTAAGCAGCCCTTTTCAAAAAGTTGGCCTGAGAAGAAACCCTGCAAACAAGAACAAGGGCCATTTCATGACCCTATTTGCATTCTTGGAGCTTGCACGGACAAAGGCAGTTACTGGAATTCTGATCAACATACCAGTAAGAGGCTGAACTTGAATTCTGTTTCCTTGTTTTCTGTGTTTTCAGAAACAAAAATACAATGAAAATCTTCAAAACAGTATTGTTTTCATAACATTTTCATTTTTGAGCAATATAGTTTCTAGGAATTTTTAAGTGGGCATGTTTTCTGGATATTGTCACTGGAACAGTTTTTGAAAACAAGTAACCAACTGATTTTCCATTTCCAGAAACAGAAATTGTGGTCAGAAACAACTTTCTTATCCAATCAAAATTCATTTTAGTTCCTTGACTAGCATTTTCAATCCACTTCAACTCGAAACTGACATCTTTTCTCCTAGAATGCTGACTAACTAGCATCAAAGAAGGGACTGGCTATCACAGATGTTGTTGCAGAAGCCTTGAGCAATGCCACCTTTGACAAACAACAGACTCAAAAGGTTTTAATCCAATCTGATGACAATCAAGTTCTGCTGAAATTTAAAAACAACACCAACTACCAGAAAGTGTTGTTAATTAACGAGGATATTAGTGCTGCCCCGAACGCAACAGTGCAAGAGATCCGAAAATATGCTGATGCAGTCACTCTCAGGAGATCCTCCATCATAACAATCTCTGATTCCTTTGCCACCGGCTTCACCACCGTCGTGGACAATATGCGTGCGGCAAATCTCTCGGTGTACGCCTTTCCTTTCATGAACGAGTTTGTCAGCCTGATGTTCGATTACTTCTCCGATCCCTTGGTGGAGCTTGCCACCTACCTTGACCATCCCGGGGTCGATGGAGTAATAACAGATTTTCCTGCTACTGCAAATGCATACCTCAGTAAGTATTATCTTCACTTTTTATTGCCTTCATTCAACGACAACTGCTCTTTTTTGGGAAAAGAAGACATCATCTCCTATTTTGCTGCAGGAAGCCCATGTTCTGACCCAAATGCCAAAAGATCGTACTCCATCTTACGCGTGAAGCCTGGTGCCCTGCTCGAATTGGTCCCGCCTGAAGCAGCGCCACCTGTGACAGCCCCTGCACCGGTACTCAATGTCGCAGATGTGGTTGATCCGCCGCTGGCGGTTGCATCCAGTGCCTCTCTAACTGACCGGAAACCCAATCAGGAGATGCCAAAGTTGCTAGCTGGGGTATTCTGGTCGGAGTCCTGTTGCTTGGTCTAATTTCTGAGGGATCCTGAAACTGGTAATTGTCTGTCTCAATTTTGAGTAATAACAAACAATTAGGAGTTGGGGTTATTCGAGCAATATATTTTCTAACGTGTTGTTTACACGAGAATTGAAAATACAAGACAAATTTTCACTCGTAGTTTTCATTTTTGTGAATATGCAGGTTTGACGTGGCATTGTGGGAATTTCAAACAAGAACCAATCAACTTTGGCAGGATGAACTTGTCATTTTGCATTCTGACCATCTGCAGGATGTAAAGACAATTCACATAATCTGATAATACCTAGTTTTAATTAATTCAGTTTAAGTTCGATCGTCTGTGTGAAGTTGTATTTTACAAAGTTTTAAGATAGACAAGTCAGAGATAAATTTTGCTCAATTGGGTTTCACATGCATCTAAATTTGTTCAATATTTTTTTCAAGAGAAGGATTAAACTATTTTATGGGTATTTGGTTTTTCATAAAATTAGAAATCTTTAGTTCAGATCAGATAAATTGCACTTATTTTTCGAAAAGTCTATAACAACTTTAAAAACTATATAAAACCAAACACTTCCTAATCCATCTTTTCTACAATAAAGAAACACTCACAAACCATACGATTAGCCTTCATCTACTTTTGTCTCTAGCTACTTTTACAGTGAATTATTTTGGGAATGTATACTCTCTCAGATACTTTGAGAGAGAGAGAGAGAGAGAGAAAGAGTTGGGGGAGGAAAGGGAGGCTCAGATTCGCCTTTTATCAGTCAAATGAGGATCCGCATGGCTGCAACATCGATTGCCATGAGAGAGTGGAAGCCCCTTGCCAGAGCTAAATCTGCCTCTCGTTTAATAAATAAATAAATAAATAAAATCCAGAGCCAAATCTCTCACAGCCCCTCCGAGTTGCCCTGCCAATCCTCGATTTGGATTCTCATATTCCTGATTTCCTTTGATCAAACATCCTCATAGCCTCATACAAACGATGCAGCTTGAAACGATACAGAGACAGACAGACAGAAATAATATATATATATATATATAGAGATAGAGAGAGAGAGAGAGAGAGAGAGAGAGAGAGAGATGCGGAGAAGAGAATAGCATCTAAAGCCACTTCAGCATCCCCCCAACCGTCCCACTCCACAATATCTCCTACACAGAAAAAGGATTAATGCCAATAACAGTTCCTGAACTTAGGGTTTATTGTTTGACAACGTTGAGGCTCAGATCTGTCTATGATCAGGCGAAAATTTGACCCCCGCCATGGCTGCAACCAACAGTTGCCCCGCCAAGAAACGGTCCGGATACCAAGCGCCTGATTCGAGCTCAGAAAGATATCATCACTGCCTCTTATGTTCAGAAAACCACAGGGGTGCATTTACCCGTACAGTATTAAGACAAGGAAATAGCACCAGGTTACGTAGAAGCAAAAGAAAACGCCATACAGAATGGAAAAAGATGCAATCCGAATCCGAATCCAGATCCAAATCTGTGCACACACACACGCACGCAAACGTTTGTTTGGGAAGAGCCAGAGAGGGTTGTTGATTTGTGAGGAGAAATCATCGGCTCATCCAGGTGCAGAGAGGGGCAACCACCCTCAGAAACTCCCCAGCCCTCTGACGGAGCCTCATTCTTGAGCCCGACCCTAGTTTTCGCTCAAGACTTGCTTATATAGGGTCATTAACCCTGCCTTTAAGCTTCCGCTCACCGCTTATTTACGTCGTGCAGTAAGGCGGGTTGTCAAATGAGAAGGCACCTTGGACATTCACCAAAGCACGTGACCGGAGGACCGATAGGGAAATTTGGGACGAGGCAGAGGCCTGTTTCAAAAATGTCCTATTAAATTCTTAAAATATCAATTCTTTATACGGTTAGTCCTCGTCTATATGCCTCCGTTAAGTTCCCTAGCTTGCCGTTAACGAACTGACTGACATGTGATGACGTAATATAGACAAATGAAGAAAAAATTATTTGTCAAGATGATTTGGTAAAAGAAAAAAAATTATCTACAAAAGGGAAATCCCATTCCCGCCCCGCCGGCTGGCACCATACCGCTTCCATCTTTGTCTGTGTCTGTTCAAAACACATATCTGCCAGCTGCTTCTTATTCAAACCAGGAATACGGGTGGTGGCAAAATGCCGAATCAGGGAAAAGATACATGCTTGACGCAAGAAAGCACCGGATAAAGCTTTATGGTGAAGAACCAACGAGGGTGTGATCATACTGCAAGTCGTAAACTTAAAAAATCTCAATCGATACTGGTTAGATTATAGCAATGCTACTATCAAGTTAACCCCGGTCGCGAATATGACAATAATATAACCAAAGATGGTTTGCGATTCTCTCGCTTTCTCATTTCCTCACTATATATTATATGTAGTACAACAGCGAGATCTAATAATCTCAGAGACGACTTACAAAAGCTGGCAATCAAGTTGATACGTGAATTTCTGAGCAAGAAGTGAATCAACAGGGCTAAAATGCTTCATTAAAAGGCAATTTCTGGCAAGCTTTTAGGACCAAGAAGTAAGACCAATCTCATATTAAAATGGGAGATAAAATTGTAAGATCATAGACATCTTTTGGAGGAAAAAATTGTGAGACATTTAAGTCAAAAGTATAAAAAACATCACTGAGGACAAAATACGAGCCATTACAAATGATAATAAAGTTGAACTCCCCTTAATAGATGTGGTTTGAGGACGAACCAGGCGGAAGCTGATGTATCCATGACGCGGGGGTCGATGAGCACAAAAAGTGAATTATTGGGGTTAAGAGTGCCACGTCAAAGAGCACTTCTGGGGGGGGGGTAAAAATGACTCCCGTGTCATAATGGGCAAACAGTAGTTGGATCACATAGCAAGGCGTTGGAACCTACCTTAGTGAAAGATAATCCGCTCCAGATAGGGTACGGATCACTGGAAAGAACTTTACAAGCTTGTGCCTGAAAAGGTGCGCCATCAATGAATATGAGCTTAGGACAGGGATAAGTCTGCACACGAACGCTTTTTCTCGAGTATGGCACACACAACATTATTGTCGAGCTCAGAAGTGTTGAAGGTGAGGCTTGATCCAGTCGGTCATAACCACCAATTATTGATACAACAAATAATGGAGGAGATTGGCGGAGGAGGAAACTAATACTATCGCCCTGCTATCCAAATAAAGACTCTACATCTCTCAATTAGTCTAAGCAAGACAAAATGGGATGCCGGCTTTTCCCTTAACAACGAATATGGTACGAATATATTTCCATGGAGGATGATTAATTACCTAGCACGATTTCTCCTCCCATGAACCGAAACATGCCCAAGAGTTTTGTTGTTTTTTTATTCTTCTTGCAAAAATTATAAGAAAACCAAACCGAACTGAACACCCCATTCGGTTTGATTTCAATTTTCGCGGTTTGGACACAGCTTTAGCTTTTTTTTCTATTTTACTTTTCTAAATCAAGCTCAGTGTCTATCATTTTTCGACCATATCATCACTTATCAGCGACAACAACGAATAACGTTAGGATAGCGGGGCAGAGGAACGGAGGGACCGTGTACCAAAATTATAGTTTTAGGAACTTGATCGGACATTTGAGTAATAGATGGTCGATCTCGAACATTTAGCAAAACTGAGCACTGACTAAAGTGGACTAACCCTTGAAACAACTAACTCTAACCCTTACTCTGCCCCTTCTGGGTCTTTGATCTCCCTCCATCGTTGCCGCCCGGTCAGCTTCCAACGCCCCATCAACGTTGTTCAACCAGAGTATCGGAAAATGCTATTGCCTTGGAAATTAGGCAGAGAAGACGATAAGATGAGCGAAACCAGTAATAAGAATAACGTCATCATCGAAGTTGTTGATGCAAAGGCTGAGACCAACATTTGCCGTGCGTGCATTGACAATAAATAAAAGTCATCACATATTCCAATAAATGAGATTTTGGCAAAATATTCTCCCAACAAATCAACCATGCATGCGTTGACATAATATATTAAAGGCTGAGGCTCAGATCGATGTATGACTAGGCAAGGATACGACTCCGCCATAGCTGCAACCAACCGTTGCCCGTGCGAGGGGAGTCCTCCCCCGCCCAAGCCCGTGGGTCGCCCTGCCAAGAGACGGACCGATCCCCATTGCCCAATTCATGCTCGGAAAAATCTCATTAGCCTCTTCTTAGATTTAACTTTTGGGCTTCCGCAAATTTATTTATTCCTTCGACTTGGTAATCTTCCCAACGCTTTCGCTGAAAAAGGAAGGAGTAAATACCAACCAATGGTCCCTAAAGTTGGCGTCTTCGTTCCATCTTCATCCTTGCACTGAGCATGCAGAAAATGGACAAAGAACTCACGACATGGCCAACGTAGTACAGGCAGTGGTATAATTGTTAGGTTGATCAGAGGTCATGGTTGAACTCTGACCCCTCCCCTCCCTGGCTAAGACTAGCTTAGGCCTCGAATGTTATGAAGAAGAAGAGAAACAACACAGGACAGAAACAGAAACAGAGTCAATTCTTGCATGGGTGCAACCAACAGTTGCCCGCGAAAGGGAGACCATATCCCGCTCCCTCCTTCACAGACCCTCCGTGTTGCCCGCCAAGAAAGTGGGCAGATCCCTTTACACCTATTCGGAAACCCTAAACCCGTTTGGCCAGCTGTTTCTGGAAACTTTTTTTCGGAGAATTTTCAGAAAAGCCAATTTTCCAAAATAACAAATGTTGTTTCCAGAATTTTGAGAAACTATTTCCGCTTGGAAATGGAAACCCTACGAAATCAACGTTATCCATTTTTAAAAACACAGAAAATGAAACTAAGAAGTGAAATAAGAAAACGGAAATTAGAAAACAAATCCCAACCACATAAAAAAAAAGGAAGCAACCACGCATGCACTGGCATCTTAATAAAGATGAGGCTCAGATCTGTGAACGATCAGGCGAGATTGTTTGATGCTGGGTGCTACCCCACTGGGGTAGCACCCCAGCTGTGTGACATGTGTTCACTTTATTTAATTTTTTTATT